CTTCCAAAAGAGGACGATATCCGCTTCATCATGCCTGGAGCTGATCCGTGCTGGTCGCTGAGGAAATACAACTTCGCGCTGTGGATCGCCAGATCGGCTTTCACCGCGGACGAAGCCTGGGGTCGTCACATGTGGTTGCCGCCGGTATCACAGTATGGTGAGGGGCGTAACATTTCCGTCTCAAGCTTGAGGTATTCGGCCAATCACAACGCACTGGATAGCTGGCCAATCAGAGCACACCTCGCTTTTCAGACCGATGAGCTTTGTAAAAATCGACGTGTTTCAGAAAGGCGGGGCATAGAGGAGAAACAATAATGTACAGTATGTGGAAAATAATGTGTTTTTTTAACCTTAAACTGCATAAACACATTTCATTACACCAAATACACAAAATAATGCTCTTTTTAGCAGCATCATATGACCCTTTAATTAGTCCAGCACACAGAGTCCAGCTGCACAAACCTCTAAAACCATTAGTAATAATTATGGGTTATATTATGTGTTTTCTTGTACAGCCGGCTTCTTGCTTTTGTTAGGGATTAAAAAATAATATTCAATAAAACAAGAGAAGATAATTTCTCTAACTGAAAACGCCTGAAATATTTAGGCTATTAATAAACGGCCTGTGTTTTAGCAAAGTGGTGCATAGGAGCATGGTTAACAAAAATGGTAATGCTCATTCAAACTAATGGAATAATTTCAAATGATTGAAAATAAAATAATTTAAAAAGAGCGGCTCGATGTTTATGTAAAAAATAAATAAAGCAGTCAGGAAATGAGCGGATTCCGTGTTGAACTCACTTTCCCATGATTCTTCACCCGGGCTCTGAGTGACGTCATAACAGCGCGACGCCGTCCCCTGTCGCACGTTCGGATGGCGTTTGCTTGAGCTCAGACAGATCAGAACGCAAGCAACGTGAGTGTGGGGTTTTTGCAACGTTGATTGTTTTTCTAATGTTTACAGTGTCGCAATGCTTCAGAACGGAGAGAGAAACAGCAACGACTGATTGGGCGCCCGATGTTTGTTCAGTGTCATTGTGTAACATGTGGCGCAACGTTACATGATTTATAAATATCTATAACAGATATTGACTGAATTTATAGCCTACAGACAGGTTATTTTAATTCTATTTAACGCTGGATATGTTCACTTCAACAGTCAGCACTCAGAAGCTGCACGCAGGAGTTTTGCTGTAACGTTACTCACACGTGGTTTGAGAATAAATTGATATTGTTCAATAAAAATAAAAAAGCACGTGGTTTGAGAATCACACACTTGTCTAGTCACACATAAATTTTTCATCACAATCTTTTACTTAAATTGCTATGCTGATAATACAGTCTTGTGATGTCACTTTTATAGAAAATGCAGAATAGAAACAGTGTAGAAGTTTTTTTGCACTTTTGCAAAATAGAAAATAAAATCTGTTTTTGTTATTTCTCGTCCCAGCAGAGATGGCAGACAATCAGGAAATGTCTCTTCTGGAGAAGAAGGTGGCAGAGCAGCTCGAGGTGAGGTGATGAGCATCATAATTAGGTTTATTTTCTCCTTCAAAGCCTTCGTTCAAATGAGTGACATGAATGTGTTTCTGTGTGTGTTCAGTACTATTTTGGTGACCACAATCTCCCTCGAGACAAGTTTCTGAAGGAGCAGCTGCAGTTAGATGATGGCTGGGTCACTCTGGAGACGATGCTGAAATTTAACAGGTAAATATAAGAGAAATGCATCATGTTTTTGGAAATTGGAAAATAGAAGCTGGGTTTCTTTGGGTTCTAAAATGTCTTAACTCACGCTTACACAAATTAATTCCATAAAAAGGTTGTATATTTTAGCAGAAAGTCGTCATTTCATAAAGTAACGGCATCAAATGTTGCATTCACTGCAAGAAATCCTCAGTATTTTGTCTTGTTCTACAATACAAATACATAAAACATCCTTAAATCAAGATACGTTTAGTTGCAGATGCATTTTGACGATATAAAGTTAAAGGGGTCATATGATGCGATTTCAAGTTTTCCTTTCTCTTTGGAGTGTTACAAGCTCTTGGTGCGTAAAGAAGATCTGTAAAGTTGCAAAGACTAAAGTCTCAAATCCAAAGAGATATTCTTTATAAAAGTTAAGTCAACCACGACTACCTAAAACGGCTCGTTCTAACACGCCCCCACATGTCTACGTCACTATGTGGAAATATTAGCATAATGCCACCCAAATGTGCACGCAAAGAAAGAAGACGTGGTTTCAGGAACAGCAGTAGTCTTGAAGCAGCATGTCAGGGAGACGCTGTGTATTTCAGTGCGAAAGCACTTTATTTGGCCTTTCGGAAGTAGATGCAATTAGGAATCATTGGTTAAGATTTATTTACAACAGAACGGCACAACCCAGATGTTTGAATTTGTGCAACGCATTTTATTAGGGCTGCTTTTTTCAACCTAGAAGAGTACAAGGCTGGCTGTGCACAAAGGCCTTTAATCAGCGGTAAATCTCCATCACCTGCGGGCTTTCACATTGAGCAGCATTAACTACACAGAGCCGTTGTTCACTGACTAGCTGCGCAAAACATCGTGCAAATATGAACTGTTCAAATGCGGAGTGAAATAAGAAAGTACCAGATTCATGGAAAGGAGCACTAATTCATCGTATTCCAAAAAAAGACAACATCCCTGATGATCCATCGACATGGAGGGATATATCCCTCCTTCCTACCATCTATAAGGTGTTCATGAAATGCATACTGGCCAGAGTTCTTCCTTGGCTGATATCTTATTCTCCAAGCAAAAGGCATACATCAATAAGCAAGGTATGAATGAACATGTATTTTGCCTTAAAACAGGGATAGATGACTTTAAGCATGGGTCATGTAGACTGTACTCAGTCTTCTTAGACTTCAGAGATGCATTTGGAACTCTATCTCATGATGTCATGTTCAGGTCACTGGAGGAAATACAGCTACCTCAACTGTTCATCGACATAGTGAAGGATGTTTATAGAGGCTCCTTTATCAAAGTAATCTGTGGAGATCAGCTCACTCACCCAACACCACTTCAGATAGGTATTAAAACTGGCTGCCCTTGGAGTGCAATTAATTTTATAATTGCCATCAACCAATGGTTAAAGTGGCTGTGTCAGTGTGCCCCCTCTGGTGTGATATCTCCTATCCCAGTACAGGGCTATGCAGATGATGTCCAGATTGCCTCCAGAGAAGAGAGCGTAATTAAAAACATGCTAGCCAGAACATATGTTTTTCTGAAATGGTCAGGCCTGGAGATTAAGGACACAAAATGTGCAGTTCTGTATGAGAGGAGGAGTGGAGGGAACAGGTGGTACCGCTCAAAATCTGATAAATGTCCAGTGTTTACAGTAGCAACAAAACCTATACGTGTATATT